GGGCTCAAACTTGAGCCATGAACTTGAGCCATGCAGTGGTCTCAACTACCCTCCCTCTCCCTCTACAACTATTAACACAAGGAGAAAAGCTTCAGATTCCTTATCTTAGAATTTAGAACTGAAATCTTGGGCTCTCATTTTTTTATAAACTTTGGCTCAGATTTAGACAAAATGAAAGCCTTTGGGCTAACTTCATGATGGCTAAATATTGCTGGAGAGGTTAACAAGAAGGTTAGAGACTCCAAGATTTTGGACACATATGCTAAAGGGGAGAGAGGAGATTGGCAAATATCTTATCTGGGAGCTGGAAAAGGGAGAGATCAATTTCTGGAAGGATAACTGGTGCCCTACTGATCAACTGGAGCCCCTATAGAATGGAAAAGATGAAGAATTACTGGTCAAATACTGTTGGAATGGAAATGAGTGGTCTGAGGATGCTTTAAACAAAGTCCTAAAAGATTATGCTGCTAAAAGTATCTCTAAAATCCAATTTGATAGAAATAGAAAAGATCAAATTCAACTAATTAAAAGAACCAGATCCAGCATTTCAAAGGACATATATAACAGCTTATTCAAATGGGAAGATTGCAAGTGGAATATTAGCAAGTGCCAAAAATTCTTAACCCCCTCCATGCTGTTCTTTTCTTGGAGAATCCTAAATGATTTAATCCCAACAGATGACATATTGAAGCTGAAAGGTTTAAAAGGCCCTTCAAGATGTCACCTATGCAATAATAACTAAGAATCCAGTGATCACCTCTTTTTCAGATGCAATTTTTCTAGGGAGGTTTGGAATCAGCTGATATCTAATAGTAACTTGAACCTGTTGAATGTGGGCTGGGGAAATTTTAAAGACAGCTTGAGAGACTGGCAGGAAATCAACCTGATGCCTCTCCCCTTCATTGTTGCTTGGTTTATTTGGAATGCTAGGAACAAGGTGAAGCAAGAGGACAGTGTGTCTCCTTTTGCTTCTGTGGCAGCTAACTGCCATGCCTATTTACATAAGCTGATAAATTGGAAGAAATTCCCTCAAATTTTGAAGGTCATGAACAAGATTGATACCCAAAATCCTATGGAGGTTAGATGGTGATCAAAGTCAGATGGGAGAAGCCCCCTTATCCTTTCATTAAAATTAATACAGATGGAAGCTTCACAAATAGAAAATCTGGTATTGGAGAGATCACACAGGATCACACAGACAAAGTTTTGCTATATTTCAAGGCTCCCTATATTGCAGAAGATGCTTTGGAAATAGAAGCTGCTGCCCTTTATTATGCCAAGGATGTCAAGTGGTTGTGCATCATTGCTGAAGTGGACTCTTCACACCTGGTGGAGCTAATCACTGCCACCTCCTCCCCCCTTGGCACAGCAACCAGTGGATCTATAGTAAATAGGATCACCACTGAGATCAAGTCCCAAATTAAGTTTAATTATAGGGAAGCTAACAGGCCTGCTAATTTCTTGGCTTTGGAAGGCTCAAACTTGAGCCATGCTGTGGTCTCAACTATTATCCCTTTCCCTCTACAACTTTTAACACAAGGAGAAAAACTTCAAATTCCATATCTCAGAATTCGTAACTGAAATCCCGGGCTCTCCTCTGAAGCTTCAATCCATTTACTGATCAAGCTGGCTATCCACCTACTATTCCCTGTCTGGTTGAATGGTTCTTGATGTTTGTTTAAGTCATGCATATATATATATTTGGCTATCACAAATATATAGATATTTAGAATTTGTTTTAGTTTCCTTTTGCTAGAGTCCTACATGTCTGAGGTTGGGTATCCCTTGGAGGGTGCTATGTGAGTTTTGTTTGAGTTAGGGAACCCTCCCTCTTTTGTAGTCACTTTTATTATCAACATGTAAGGAGCCGAATAATGCTCCTTTC